GCAATAACGGTAAATTCAGAAAGAATAACCTAAAGGCATTCTTGTTTATCTGTACTAAAGCTGTTATATCCTAATATACCAATCTTTGGGCAGTTATTTCTCCCACCTACATGAAAAGGTGTTTCTTTTTTAAGATTTGAGAACAAGGGTAGCTTATAATTCTAGAATTTTGCTACTTACTTTCTTACCAGTGATATAAATTACATAAATAATACAAAGTTAACTCAAGACTGTATTTCTGAGACAGGTAATGATGTAGAAGTCTGCAACTCTAAAATGGGTAAGCATGTAAATAAATGTTGGCATAATTATTGAACATCTCTTGATTTTTTAGAATAGCCCTTCAAGATAAGTCAAAGAAACTTAACTCCAGATAGTCTTTAAAATTCAAATGTATGCAATATACTAGAACACGTAAGTACAAACAACTAACCCACATTTATTAACAGATGTCCAAACATCAGCCTAAAAACAAATTAAAAAATGAAATATCCAAACAGAAGTATTTCTCCTGTAAGTTAAAAAAAGATGCCAAAACTATTATGAAAAAGATATAAAGTCCACAAACAAAATACCTGCATGATGAGAAAGTGAGGGTTGTTAACATTAAGACCAACAGAACAGAAGAGATCGTATACTCTGGTATTGTTTGCATTTACTCCATTGATTAAATATTTATTTCTGCCACCAATAACGACCTGCAAAAGAAAGAATTTTAAAAGACATAAATGAACACATGTATCTTGAGCTAAGATGATAAATTCCCAAATACATTATCTTTTATTTGTTTTTTCCAACTAATGATAAATAAAATGAATCTAGGGTAAATAGTGAAGAAAGTATAATGTGGTCAAAAACAATGTGAGACCGGCTCCTAATTTAGGACCTCCTAGCCTCCCACGTGGCAACTAGGTCTTTAAGGTGCTCTCGACCTTTATGTTTCCAAGGGTGTACAGAATGTAGCTTCTATCCCTGACCACCCTCTTCTACTACTTTCCATACTCAGAGGCTGACCCATCTTCCTCCACTTTTTGATTTCCAAAGGAGTCAAATACTAAAAATGAAAGACACAGTTTTAGTAACAATCCTTGTCAAGACTCTAAAACTAGTAAAAGACAAGACTTGTGAATATTTGAAAGAAAAAGAATAATCATGGAACTGCAGCACGGGTTTAACAAGAACAACTTATACTGGACAGCAGCTTGTTCAGTCTACTACAGCATGTACATCGTCATTTTGGAGGTATGACTGCCTCACCCATTTGCTAAAGTCCTTAGAGACATGATTTGTTTCTCATTCTTTCTATCTCTATTTCCCAGTGCATTTGAGAATGCCCAGCACACATCAAGCACTTAATAAATATTAAATAAATGACTTCACTTATTTTCCTGACAGTATTAGGGTGGTAGATCATTTATTAATATTTGAACAACAATCCTAATATATCCTAAAGAAGTTCAAGGAAGTCTTTATAACAAAATTCTGGAGAAGACAGAGTCATATGGACCACAAGAGGACAGGAATTTGGATTAGATTAGTAGCAGATTTTCTTAAAATCCTGAAAGGGTAATTATTTGATAGATGCTTAATGACAGAGAACAGGATTTTGTCCCAATCTAGTCAATCCTTTTTTCTTTTTCCCAACCAGAGTTTTCATTAAAATAGAGACGGAAATCTATAAGCTACATAATGCTAAGATGAAGAGTAAATGAGAATTAACAATTTTTAAAGATAAAACTCGGACAAACTGAAAACACGGTCTGATTATAATAATCTTAAAAAAGATTTTAAGGGACAAATGTTTAGGTCCTCCATTGGTTTCAAAGACCTGCTTAGATGCAGAAATGGTAGTATATGGCTAAGTAATAACATGAACAAGTTAGACTGATTTTAAGTAAATCAGATATGAATTCATAATAAATCATGAACTCTTCAACATCATATTGAGAAAAATAAAACTAGAGTACTTAAAATGAAAGAAGTGACAATTCTGCTTAATACTGTCCCAGCCAGACCAATTCTGATCCATGCAATTTGAAGTGCCAAGCATTAAAATATGTGTATGTGTGTGCGTGCGCACATAAATACAACTGGAGCAAATTTGCATTCCATGTGATGAGACAAGTGGAAGACCTAGGAACAACTAAGTATCAATTGAAAGACCTAGAGAATTTAGCTGAGAAAACAGACTTACAGAAGAACACTGATACATTGAAATAAAGAATAAATTACATGTTCTCTTGGTGCTCTCAAGATAACTAGGATTTATGCGTAAAACTTGAAAACAACACTATGGTATGACTCAATTTGCAAGAATAACTTGCTAATTTCCAAAAACAGAATGGGTTACCTCAGAAAACAGTGAGATCCCAAGAGCTACAGGTGTGCCAGCACAGAGAGACTCAAGTGCATGGTTTATGGTTTAAATGAGCATGGCTGAGTGCTTGCACAGATGGATTTCACATCCCTTTCAATCCACTTGGTAAATGGTGGAATTTGCTTAAGCAAAACAAGATATTCTTAAGGAATCTTAAGTATTTGATCCATCAGATTGCTCATAAACTTTCCAGTAATTGTATTGCCAAAATGCACCTGAGACATGTTTTTAGGTAACCAAATATTTAGTAGTCACTCACCTGCCTTGTTACTGTAATTTCATCATGAACCTCAAATCCTAAAGGACTCTGCTTTTTGTCAGAATTATCAAAGGTGATTGACACCAAGGCTTTTGTAATACCAGCTTGCCCATTTTTGTAAACTAAATCTTGTAAGTTAGAAGCCCGAACCTAAAATAAAGGAAAAGTTTATCAGTTACAATACTCAGTACTGCACAAAATAGCACTAAAAATAGCTTTCTTGCTGTTGGAAAACCACCCATGTAGTATCCATTAAGAAGTCAAGAACAGGAAGTGGTATTCATAGGCAAGGAAAGCAAAGAAAATGGGCATCGACCTGAAATGGGTCTCTCTCTCCATAGGACTTTTTAAATCCTGAACTAAACTGTTTTCTACTCATTTCTTAACAAGAGCTCATTTGAAAAATTTAAGGAAAGATAGTGTCTAAAAATTTCACTATTCATTCAATCCCAATAGTAGATCCCGGAAAAGGCATTATAATGAGGGGGGGAGCAGGTGGAAAGGATAGAAACCAGAATGAGAATGTGTGAGTTTCAGTGTTGCTTCAAACATCTTAAGAAGATTAACCTTAAGCAACTCCTCTAAGTTTCTACCTTCTCACCTAAAATATGGAGTAGTAATACCTACCTTTAAAGGACTGCAGTGAGGTAGAAGATAATTCACATAAAAATGCAAATGAAGAGAATATTTGTAATACTGGCTCTCTCCAAGTGTAAAGATTCCCTTGAGGTTCCTCAAACTTAAATTCACCTAAGTCAGAAAGTTTACACTTTACCTGAGACAGGTTGGAGATGCCCAGCAAAAAGCAGATGGAGTCCAATATGTTGGATTTTCCACTACCATTTAAACCAGTGATAGCATTGAACAGAGGGTCAAAACCATTGACTTCAGTCCTCTGAGCATAGGATTTGAATCCCTCAAGGATGATTGACTTAATGTGCATTTTAACTACTGACTTGGACAGGTAAATCTCTGCTAGGAATCAAGCCACAAAGCAGTTCTGTACAAAACAGGAAAACAACGCGTAAGTGCAATGTAAAACTGGAATCATAATAAACAGACTAAACCATAAGAATGACAGCGCAATAGAAATAAAACAGCCACTTGCAAAGTCATTTCCTCTGATGTAAAGGTATCTTTCTTTAACTTAAAAATATATAAGAATTAGCCTCTATTTAGAAGTTAACTGGGCTTCCCCGGTGGCTCAGCGACAAAGGAATCCTCTTGCAACGCAGGAGCCACGGGAGATGTGGGTTCCATCCCTGGGTTGGGAAGATCCCCTGGAGGAGGGCAGGGCAACCCACTCCAGGATTCTTTCCTGGAGAATCCTCATGGACAGAGGAGCCTGGTAATCTACAATCCATAGGGTCGCAAAAAGTCAAACACGACTGAAGTGACTTAGCATGCACACACGCAGAAATTAACTGAACCTGGAAGCCAACCAGCTACTTCTCCAGGCTCATAATCTTCCACCGTTATCATACTCCAGCTAACACAGATTACTGATCATTTACCATCGCATCCCCTTCGCCCCTTCTCCCGGACACTGACACGGCTCACTCTCCTTTATATCACTCATGTCTTTACTCAAACGTCACCTAACTAGGTTCCTTTCCGACTCTCGTATATAAAAAAGTACCCTCTACCCATCCCCTCCCTCTGCTTTCTTTTTCCTTCACGGACTTACAGCTGACACTAATCAGTACTTATTTATTGCTCTACCCAACGTATCATAATGTAATCTTCGGTAGCATCTTCTACATTCACCGTTGTATGTCAGAATACTGCCTAACACGAAGGCGCGGGATGGGCGGGTGGTCTGTAAATATTTCTTAAATATCAGTAGACATATCCCAGATAAATACCCGAAGGCTTTTGCTTTTACTCAGGCTCTTCCCTCGCCCCACCAGGCCTTTCTGTCAACCCTTGCTCGCCCTACTCCAAAGTTGGACAGGAACTAGTCATTCTGCCAGGAATCCCTTTAGGACTAAATTTACTCTGAAATTCCTTGCTACTCTGCTCCCCAGCCCCCGACGCCCATCTCCCGCCAGGAATGCCAGGCTAGGCCCAACCGGCCGCGCGCACGCACCTGCCTCGCCCCTGCGTCAGGTCGCCTGGGCTTGAGGCGCCGCCGAAGCTCTTCCTAATCACTAGGGCGAAGAGTGCGCCAGTCTTGCCCGGCTTCGGGCGCTAAGAGGCGAACGCCACCAAAGCTGCTCCTACATTTGCCCCGCGCGCGGCACCGGGGCGAAACTATTTTTGCCTTTGAATTTCGGCGCGAGCGCAGGACCCCACCTCCACTACCTATTCCATTGGCTGGTGCCTCAGAGATGCCTGACTTAAAGGTTCCATTTTTCTCTTCCATCAAGCAGTTAAAGTGACAAAGAGATAGAAAAGAAGGTCGAGAAGGTAGCGGCTCAGGAAAAGCGACGGGTCGGACCTGAGGACTAAAGAAGCTGGCGGCAAATGTTGAGCCCGGTATCCGGCACACCTCGGGCAGCCCCGCACATCAGCCTGGGGGCCTCGCGCTCGCAGGCCCCGCCCTGCCGCAGGCCGGGTCTGGCCGCCGTCGCGCCCGGGAAGCCCCGCCTCTCCTGAGGCCCGGCGGGACTCAGTGGAGCAGGCCCCCGTGGTCTCCGAGTACCGAAGGCAGGATGGCTTCGTGTCGGTCTCCTCGTTCTGCCTCAGAATCCCCCTGAGCTGGGCCAGGGTTCTCTCAGTGGAAGCTGCGCCTTGTTGCGGCTGGGGCGGCGCCGGACGAACTTCTGAGGACTGTCGATCGCGTTCTGGCTCCGCCCCTCGCCGGCAGAGAACCCCGGCGGGCTTGGGTTTCCGGTCCCAAAGGGCCGATAAGGCGGTCACCAGAGTTGTGCAGCGCCCGCGGGAGAAGTTGAGTGGGGCTGATAGTAGATGCCTGACGAATAGGAGTTCCCCTCGTTTCTTTGAAAAGCTGTGGAATGATAAGCAATGGCAGAACTAACATTTCAGAGAATTTTAGGGGCAACACCTTATAACAGCTGATATTTATTGATTTCAGGTGCCAGGTTGCGTTTCAGGCGCTTTTAAAAATCTTAGCAACCCTATGAAATCCGTGTTATTGTTCTCATTTTACAAATGAGCAAACTGAGCCTCAGGTTAAGCAACTTACTCCAAGTAGTAAGCGGGGAAGCTGAGGTGTGCGTCCACACAGGCTTGCTCTAGAGCTAGTATGTTTACTTCTCTTCATGTACAGCCTCCAGTGCTAGTAATAACAGATGCTGTTATCAGTGTGTGTTTTCTTAAAAAAAAAAAAAAAAAACAGCCAGTTTACTCGCAGTTAAGCATGTTGATACTAATGAGTTAGGAAGGACATAGCTTCATAGTGTTCCATGGTGCTTTCCCTAGGTGATGTATAAAAGAGATGATGCGGCCAGCGTGCTATTTTAAGTTGTATATTTAAAGTTGCTTTCTTGGCCTCGATTGACTTTGCAGTATCGGACGCCAGTCAAGCTACCAAGAATGGGCCATTGATTTGAAAATCTTTTCTACTTGGGAGAATTAAAAGTTTTGTCGGGGTTTTCTGTTTGTATAAGAAAAATTACTTTATTTACTCTTATCTCACCCACTTAGGTAAGTCAGTCGTTACAGGCCTAACATCATTTAGTCAAGCGGTTATCTTTGATATTGATTCTCTTCAGTCTTAAATACATTTCTTTTCAACTATGTTCTCCTCATTTCATCTCTTTGAGAAGAATTTTAATTTGCAAACAGACCCTAATGTGGATTTTATCAGGTTGTGTAATAAATAGTTCTTTTGGGTGAAAATGTGTTAGGACAGAGATTGTTAGCCTTTGCACTATTTTAATAAATTAATAACCAGCTGATATTATTTATGTCAAATGGATGAAAAAATACATGCAAATACACTTTTGCTGTATAAGGACTTCTGGGTAGTTATAAAAATAGACACATCTAACTACTTCCACTAAAAGTAATTATAGTAAAAATTGCCTATAAAAGGAGAGGTCTATAGCAGTTTTAGTCTCAGAGCATATCCGAAGCACTAGCAAATTACAGTTAGTACAGATGAGCTTAAGGAAACCTAATGGCTTAGTTAAACCTGGTCTCTGAGGTTGCCATAGAGAAGTGGAGAACACCAAGGCATGAAGCCACTAAAACCCCTCTAATGTGGGGAGATTAGGAATGGAAGTAAAGATAGACTATAGGGTTGTTGTTCAGTTGCTAAATAGTGTCAAACTCTTTGCAGTCCTGTGAACTGCAGCACACCAGGCTTCCTTGTCCTTCCAAACCCAGAGTTTGTTCAAACTCAAGTCCATGGAGTATAACGTAGATACAGTATAAATAGGGCACTGTTCTCGTTTCATCACCATGAATCAGAAGCATTTGAGTACTTCCCTATGGTCCATCGGTTAAGAATCTGCCTGTCAATGCAGGGGACACAGGTTTGGTCCCTGATCCTGGAAGATTCCTCATGCCACAGCGCGACTAATCCCATGCATCACAACTACTGACCCATGTACCGTAACTACTGAAGCCTGCGCACAGTAGACGTTGTGTCCTGCAACAAGAAGCCACTGCAATGAGAAGCCCATGCACTACAACCAGAGAGTAGCCTGCACTCACTGCAACCAGAGAAGGCTAGCATGCAGCAATGAAGACCCAGGACAACGAAAAATAAATTATTTTTTTTAAAAAAGCTTTTGAAAGCTTGAACACTGGTGGGCAGGTGGAGTCTTTGTCCTTACGTAGAAGGCAGTAGTACCAGTGAGGACACAGATAAATAAAACAGGACCTAGGAAAAAGATTTGATCTTCTCTTCCAGGGCATTGGGAGGGACCCACTTCCCAAAGCCTCACTTTTCTAATTTTGGAGTCCTACAAAATTCTATGAAACTGAGTGAATCCTCTTTCGCTGGAATTTAGGACAGAAGGAGAAAGAAAAATGAAGGAATTTTACCTTCATTGCAGAAATAAGGGAAGTTTGGTTCATTTTGTTGAGAGATTAATTTCGGTTTCAGAGGGAAGAACTGAAGTTCATATCGCAAAATTGTATTGAGTAGCAGCACATTTTGAATACATCAAATAAAACCAATCTGGCAAACTTGGAAAGAATGCCAGCTGAGCATAATTTAAAATGAGGACTAGAAAAGGAGGTGATTATATTCTTTCATGTAGACACATTTATTTTCATTTCAATGACAATATTGTTTTCAGTGGGCTTCCCAGGTGGTGCTAGTGGTAAAGAGTCCACCCACCAATGCAGGAGACAGGAGAAATGCCGGTTCAATCCTTGAGTTGGGAAGATCCTCTGGAGTAGGGGGTGGCAACCCACTCCAGTATTCTCACCTGGAAAATACCATGGCAGAGGAGCCTGGCATGCTACAGTCCCTGGGGCCACAAAGAGGCAGATGCAGCTGAGCACACTGTTTTCAGTACTACATGTTCTGTTTGGTTCCTTGTGAAATCTGTTTATATTTTCCTTCTGATTTCCATTATTTTGCCTCCTTAGTCAAGTTAAATATCTTTATCTTCTTTTTTAGGTACTTCTACTATGTCAAGCTTTTGAGTTCCTAACTCTGCAACAGTTGCTGACTCTTACTCATAGTGATTTGTTTCCTCCTGTGGTGCTGTTCTTGCATGGGGCTGTTTGGTTTATGGGAGTCTCTTATGCCCCGAGTTGTGAAAGGGTTCCTTCAGAGCACTTACACATTTGTTTCTGCCAGGGTTCTTTGGCTCTTAAAGATCTGGGAACATTTGTAAATGATTGTTTCTCAGCTTGTGGTTCCTGAATTATACAGATATAGTAAATTCATGTCTGTTGCAGGTCTGTGGTTTTAATTTATCATAAGCAGATTTTGTTTTATCCCCCTATCCAAAGCTCCAAAGAAAAAACAAACCTTACCTCTTCCAGAGGCTAGTACGTGGAGCTTTTCCAATCACAATGACCGGCAGATCTTTAAGGCTGCAGGTTTCATATGAGAGCCTAGTTCCAGCTCCTCTGGCTCACTGAAGCTCAAGGGCTACTGCTTGTGCCTCAGAACCCAGCCACTGGCTCCTGAGGCGTATGGTGGTTTAGTCATTCAGTTGTGTCTGACCTTTGAGACCCCATAGATTGTACCCACCAGGCTCCTCTGACCATAGGATTTCCCAGGCAAGAATACTGGAGTGGGTTGCCATTCCCTTCTCCAAGGGATCTTCCCAACCCAGGGGTTGAACCCACACTTCTTGTGTTTCCTGCATTGGAAGATGACTTTTTTACCACTGAGCCACAGCAGAACCATGTGGGGAGCCCCCTGAACCCGATAGCAAAGTATAAAATAAATGTTGGAGGGCTGCCTGTCAGTGCCTGTTCTTTACATTTTCAGTCTGTTTCTGGCACTTTGAATTTTCTGGTGTTTGTTCCTGTGTGTGGTATATGGTTTATATGACAATAGTTACATTTTATCCAGTAGTTCTATGACTTTATGAAGAGAATTTCAGTCAACCAGGTTAGAGAAGGCCCTTCCACGTACTTCTCATGAAGCAAATCAGTGATCTTTGTTTTGCTCCTGGTGAACCTTGCTTTCAGATTTTCAATTCCGCATTCAAATGAACGTTTCCTGAAAAACAGAGAAAGATGTCTGGTATCAGCTCTTAAGAAAATATTTTGATTTACTATTCATAAAATCCAGTCTTTTGGTACTTGTTTCATATTTGTTCTTTCAATGTTTGTTGTTCTCCTTGGCTTTTATCACTTCCACACTGGTTACCAGCCAAAGCTACTCTGTTTTGCCACAGCCCTTCCTTTATGGGGAGGATTATTCACTCCCCTTTCTCAAATATCGTTCTCATTTCATCGTTCTCCCTTTCACAGTGGTCCCTTACTACTTTTTACTTCAAGTCCACATACATCTGCTTGACCTTCTTTCAGTTGGTTTCCTTTTATTAACAGCTCAGTTCTTACTAGATGTCACTCTTAGATATTTTCCACAAGATCTGCCTCTTCAGTAATCAGCATTTTCTCTGTTACATTATTCAAATTCCTACTTGAATTACTACCTCATCAATACTTACTAGCCACCAGTCTCTGCTCTCTCAAAATGTCCTACAAAATATATGTTTCTATATCAGAAATATGACATCTCTTTACTCTATAAACTCTTGGTGAAAATTGCCTGTAGAATTAATTCTAACCTCTTTAAGATGGCATGCCCTGCCTTTTGTAATTTCCATCTACTTTCCTAGGACTCATGTCCTGCAGCTTCTTCCTTATATTACCTTGTCATTTGTTGTTCACTACTATAAACCAAGCACAAAGTGACAAAAAAAAAAGTGACAACTTTTAAAATGAATAGATGAATTCAATAGGCATTTATAGAATGCCTGCCTTATTCTAAGAATCTACTATGTTCTGGAATACAAGATGAATAAGATGTGGGCCTGTCCCCAAGGAATCCATAGATGAATAGAGATGACATGCATAAAGAAATTAACCAGAGGAAGAGTGAAAGGCATTATAAATGATAGATTGCACAAGCAAGGACATGGAAGATAAACACAGTGTAAGAGGTAAGAAGTAGCAAGATTTAGTGTAGGATAAGCCAGATTATGGAACATTTTATGTGCCATCTTGAAAAATTTGTTGTCAATTTTGAAATATTGATGTTCTCGTCTGTGTCTTTACGTCTTTGCACATGCTGAACTTATCCCCTCTCCATATCTACTCCTATGTGTATTTCTACTTATATTTGAAACCCTGAATTTGATCCATTTCTGGGAGAATTATTTGCAGATTCTTATGTAATCCCTTAACCCTTTATCTAGACTTTACTTCTAACTTATATTCCTACTGTGACATACCTTCTGACATTCCTCAGTACCTAGCACAATATTGGTTGAATATGAATAAATTTAGGAGATTCATTTGCTGCTTTCTCATTAAGGTAAAGGGAAAGAATAGATTTAAGAAGTCAAAGGACTTGGAAAATACTGAAATATACAACATAATCCATAAACAATTCAACATTATAAGATTCAACATGTTAATGGTGATGATTATTTCATTGATCTGACATTGAAAAATTTTTTACACCAGCTAGCAGTGTTCTATTTGTGTAATGCCACCAGCAACCACCTATTTCAAATGCTAAAAGAAGATGTTGCTTAAGTGCTGCACTCACTATGCCAGCAAATTTGGAAAACTCAGCAGTTGCCACAGGACTGGAAAAAGTCAGTTTTCATTCCAGTCCCTAAGAAGGGTAACACCAAAGAATGTTCAGATTACCCCACAATTGCATTCATTTCACATGCTAGGAAGGTGATTCTCAAAATCCTTTAAGATAGGCCTCAATAGTACGTGAACTGAGAACTTCCACATGTAGAAGCTGGATTTAGAAATAGCAGAGGAACCAGAGATCAAATCGCCAAAATCCATTGGATCATAGAAAAAGCAAGAGAATTCCAGAAAAAACATCTATTTCTGCTAAAGCTTTTTACTGTGTGGATCACAACAAACTGTGGAAAAGTCTTAAAGAGATGAGAATACCAGACCACCTTTCCTGTTTCCTGAGAAACCTGTATTCAGGTCAAGAAGCAAGAGTTAGAACTGGACATGGAACAATGGACTGGTTCAAAATTGGGAAAGGTATATGTCAAGGCTGTATATTGTCACTCTATTTATTTAACTTATATGCAGAGTACATCATGCGAAATGCCAGGAGGGATGAATCCCAAGCTGGATTCAAGATTGCTGGGAGAAATATCAATAACCTCAAATATGCAGATGACACCTCCCTAATGGCAGAAAGTGAAGAACTAAAGAACCTTTTGATGAAAGTGAAAAAGGAAAGTGAAAAAGCTGGCTTAAAACTCAACATTCAGAAAACTAAGATCCTGGCATCTGGCCCCATCACTTCATGGCAAATAGATGGGGAATAAATGGAAACAGTGGCAGATTTTATTTTCCTGGGCTCAAAAATCATTGCAGGTGGTGACTGTAGCCATGAAATTAAAAGACACTTGCTCCTTGGAAGAAAAGGTATCACAAACCTAGACGGTATTATAAAGCAAAGATATCACTTTGCCTACAAAGGTCTGTACAGTCAAAGCTATAGTTTTTTCCAATAGTCATGTACGGATGTAAGAGTTAGACTATAACGAAGACTGAGCACCAAAGAATTGATGCTTTCAAACTGTGGTGCTGGAGAAGACTCTTGAGGGTCCCTTGAACAGCATAGAGATCAAACCAGTCAATCATAAAGGAAAACAACCCTGAATATTCATTGGAAGGACTAATGCTGAGCTCCAGTACTTTGGAGCAGACTCCAAAGTACTGATTCGAAGAGCAGACTCATTGGGAAAGACCCTGATGCTGGGAAAGATTCAGAGCAGGAGGAGAAGGCGATGATAGAGGATGAGATGATTTGATGGCATTGCTGATTCAATGGACATGAGTTTGAGCAACCTCCAGGAGGTAGTGAAGATAAAGAAGTTTGAGCAACCTCTGGGAGGTAGTGAAGATAGAGAAGCCTGGTGTGCTGCAATTCATGGGGTCACGAAGAGTTGGATACGACTGAGCAACTGAACAACAACTAAAACCAGTGGCCACTGTGATATTTATAACAAATCTGCCATGGAATGAGCGTCAACAGCTGCTGGCTTCTCAGAGCTCTCAGCCATATACTTTTCCCTGTCCTTGCTCTTTTGACCTGTAAAATAAAAACAAGCTTCTACTAATGCTGGAATAGCTGAAGTTTCAGGTTGAAAGAATACAGTTCAGATATAACCACATCCCTAGCTTCTGTCCAGGTATAACCACACCCTTCCTTCCCACTCCTTTATTATACACAGAGATTTATGTTACATGGTGTTCTATTTATTCATTGATATAGTTGTCTCTCCCTGCTGTGAGCACCATGATGTCAGTGGTCTTACCTTATCAGGGTCTGTAAACCTCACCTCCAGTGCAGTTCTTGACACAGAGTTGTGCTCCGTAAGTGTTTATCAAATGCATGAACTATTACACAAACATGTAAAGATTATGAAGGTGGTTGTTTTTTCAGAGAACACTCATTCTCTGTTTTTCAGATTTGTCAAATGAATGTTGGTGGTTGTTTTATTGTTATTTTTGCTCTTACTTAAATTCCTAGAGATTTGTGTGACACTCAAACACTAACATCCACAGAAACTTAGGAATTTTTCCCACCTTGTTTCCCAACACTGACTTCCACACCACTTCTGTCGCACATCCGGTACATGGCAGATAGGAAACCCCTGGTTTATCACCTTGCAGTCTCCACGCTTCCTCTACTCCATTTCCCTCAAACCCCACTCATTCTCATAAGGGTGGGCTCTTGCCCTTGGGCTCCTAAGGGAATATAGACCAGGGCAATGTAACATCGATATATTTGTATGAATTTGAGGGCATTTCCCTCAAAACATCAGCATTTGTGGGACATTCACAGTAGAGTTCAGGGGGTCTTCAGCAACCCAAATCAAGTTCTACTTATGTCCTTTGTCACTGGACAAGGAAGACCATGTCACCAAGTCTTTTCTGCCATTTCAACATCTCCTCTCCCGATCTGTGGGTAGTTACTTGAAAAAAAAATCCTAGTATACTTTTGTTATGTTACTTCATGTTATTCAACAATTCCATATTATTATCATCTCTGTTTTATAGACAAAGAAGCTGGATCATAGAACTAAAGATTAGAGTAGCACTGGGCCTAAAGTCCATCCTCCATCCAGTTATTCAGCAAATACTTGAGCGCTCACAATGTCAGTGAGCAGCACAGCAAGAATTTCTGCCTTACGGAGCTTAAACCGTGGTGGATGTCAGTTCTTATTTTATTGATTGTAAAGCGTAACTTTTTACAACACTCTCATTCTGCCTTAGTAGTAGCTATCAGTCTCAACACCTCAAATAATTGTCCTTTCCATGTGACTACTGAAGCCCTCAAGTCATAGAAACCCCAGCTGGCCTATTTCACCAGATGCTTGGGCATTCTCAGTCAGGCCTGGACTTATAGTGGGTACTCGGGCTTAGGTCAAGAACTAAAGCTGAAGCATTTTAAACACTGCTCACAGGGAATGAATTCTTAGGGAAGTAGCAATGTTCCACTGGGAGTAAATGCTGTAACAGGCTAGAGGATGGACTTGTAAATATTCATAAAAAGTAGATTGGATTTAGTATAGATAGAAGTCTTGAGCAGGTGCAACAGGAAGAACAGCTCCTGTTAGGGTTGGTTGGTGGGATCTTCTTTTTGTACGGAGAAATGTTGCCAGCAATTCTTCTTGGAAGACTAATTTAGAATAATTTTTATTTTGTATAGTTTTTATTAGTTAATGAGATCTAGGAGTGTAATAACCTGGTGAGAATTTGTCTGCAAATGGCAATCAAATTAGTCTTATCCATGAACTCATAAATAAGCTATAATTCAGCATTTTATGTCTAGGGGAATTAAAATGGGGGTCATGCTGTTTAAGAGGATAAGGGAATTTAACTATACACTGGGGAATTTAGAGCAGATTTATGATGAAGATATATCCTAACTGGAAGCTTAATTGTGATTTAAATTACAGGTCAAGCTGTGCAATGTGTTTTCTTTTTAGGGGAAAATCTTTGGGGAGATAAAGTGTGCTTGTTTAAAGAAGAAGCAGAAAGTAAATGAAAAGGCAGATTGCATTTTCTGTTTTTCTCTTAAAATTTCAAGCTGCAGTAAGTTGAATCATTCCTGAGTTCCTGATGATGGCTGTTGAGAAATTTTTGTATTACTTTCTTTGTGTTAGTCTTGCCCTCTATTCCAGAGCAGTTATTTTACTTGACAGTAACAAAAAGATGTAGCCAGCATATCTGCCAGCAAACAAAAATGGAAACCAGAGATAAGGTATTCTCAACTCTTCTAGAATTGTGACATCCTATCATTTTAGGCTGACTCATAAAATCAGCAGTTTCTGCACATAGAAGGGCCTTTGAAGAATTATAACCACACATTTTTCAAATGGGGAAATTAAGGCTTCTAATGATTTTCTTAAATTTACTCTTTATCTCAAATAAGTCTATTGAGGAAATAAAATATATGTATGAATGACTTCAAAATATAAAGAAATTGCTTTCTGGTGAAATAAAAACTCAAACAGATTATCAGAGGTTGGCTATGTAGCAGAGATCTTTACTTGGAAAATAACAGACTCTTACAGCCCAGACCTTTATTCTCAGACATTTCCCTCTCCTCTAAGAAATTCTTCAGTAAGTAACAGTACAACCACCATGCAGGATTCAGTTGTGGATGGGGATGGAGTCTGGGGTGGGCAATGGTGACAGAAAGCCTGAGAGGGAATGGGGATGATCTGTTCTCCTTTTAAGGCTCTGAAAGAAGGTCAAGTCAAGAATGGAATATTTAAACAATCCTTGACTAGAATGTTAAGAATAATACTAAAGAAACGATACAACGTGGTGAAAAGAGAGAAGATTCTAGCTTACAAGACACAGTGTGGGTCAAGAAGATCCTCTGAGACTCACAGGTGCAATGTCCTCTGTGCCAGAAAAAACACATGGCACTAGAGTGGAGTGTCCCATCGGAATTCCTCCTCTTACTCCCCCTGCCCCACCATCTTCCACCTTAGTTTCTCCATGCCTTGTTTGGGAAACAACTTCAGTCATTCACTTAAAGGACCTATTCCTCATACGAGGCAAATATGTAACACAGGATTGGTGCAGGTGCTCAGGGAGTCCACAAAAAGAAAAAAAATCATGGCTGGGAACATAATCAAGAGGTACATCCTTGGAGGATTTTCCTGGATAGTATTTGAGCTGAATCCTTAAAGAAAAATATGCCTTTGACAGGTGGAGATAGGGAATCAGCAGTCCAAGTGTAGAAGATTACTTGGCACAGTCTTCCAATAAGTTTACTAGAAATCTGTACTCCTCTTATAATGGATGCTGAACCACACCACGCAGAATCCCCCTTGGGACCAAGGCATGCGATCCTCAAGTTCCCAGGAGAGCCGGTTGCAGACGGCTCACAGCTGAGCCTCTTCCCTAGCATGGCTCTCCACGGAGGAAGTTGCCCCACTGAAGTTAATCTCCCATTCAGTGTTGGGCCATACCCAGTGACTGGTTGGTGCAGGGACACAAAAGCCCTTTTGCTTCAACCAGGATAACTATAAAAGGCCATCTCAACAGCTTCTCAGGCCATCAACTGAAGCCTTGTGACTGCACTATGGTGTGGCTTCTCCCTCTGGCCAATTCTGTTTTCTGCACTAAGGCACCGTGTTCTGGACAGCGCTCCCACATAAACTTTCTGCACACAAATCTCTGTTTCAATCTACTCTTTGGGGAACCCACCTAAGATAATACTAGATAAAATTTGAAATACTATAGGCTATTTTAGGGGAATTCCCTGGTGACTCAGAAGGTAAAGAATCTGCCTGCAATGTAGGAGACCTGGATTCAATCCCTGGCTCAGGAAAATACTCTGGAGAAGGGAATGGCTACCCAGTCCAGTATTCTTGCCTGGAGAATCCCATGGACAGAGGAGCCTGGTGGCTATAGTCCATGGGATTGCAAAGAGTTGGACACGACTGAGCAATTAACACACACACACATACCAGCTATTTTAACAGAGTCTAATGTAGAGCTCGGAAAGCCTAAAGTGTACATATGATTCATTCATTAGAAATGCTGATTCATGGTCTCTATGGTAACAAGTTGACATCTCAAGTTAAGTGCTGAATTACTAAACCAATTTATATTCCACTGACAACTGGAAAGGAGAGAAATCATACCTGAGCTATGGTCCTTCTGTTCTCAGATTCTGCTAAACCCATCAATAGGTTCTGGTCACCCAGTATTAAGGACTCTATCAAAAGGGCTATATCAGGAAGTTATGCTGTAGGAAAAAAGAAAAAAATTACCAAGTGCCTTAAAAGCAACAATGGTTTATTTCTTGCTGGTGCTATATATCCATTGGGGAGGCAGGAGACATTTCTGCTTTTCATAGTCAGTAAGGAAGCAGCCATGACCTGGAATCCTGTGGATCCCTGCTAGAGGGAACAAGAGCTCTGGAAGGGACAAGAACCAGAATTTAAAATGCTTCATCAAAAGTGACACACATCACCTATACTCACAATTCATCACAACTATTTATTACAATGCCCGCAAGCTATGCGTGCCAAGTCACTTCAGTCGTGTCTAACTCTTTGAGACCCTATGGCCCATATAGCCCTCCAGGCTCCTCTGACCGTGGGATTTTTCAGGTAAGAACACTGGAGTGGGTTGCCACAAGGGGCTCAGGAAATGCAATCTCAAAATGTGCCTGGAAAGGCACAGGGTCAGAGGGGAGAACTGGACTCTTTGGCAGGGCTTCCCAGGTGATGCTAGTGGTAAAGAACCCATCTGCCAATACAGAAGATTTAAGATACCTGTGTTTGATCCCTGGGTTAGAAAGATCCCTTGAAGAAGGAAATGACAACCCACTCCAGTATTCTTGCCTGGATAATCCCATGGACAGAGGAGCCTGGTGGGTTATAGTCCACAGGGTCGCAATGAGTCGAACACAACTGAAGTGACTTCACTAATGACTAATGGAAGATCTTGGAGTCTAGAAACTCAAAAAAGGAAAAGAAATAGGTTAAACTGGTAGTCGAATTTTCAATTAAAAAGAATCTTAGTAGTAAGTAGCCATTGATCCTTTATTATCTTTCAAATTATATTCTATTGTTTTTATTTTATCTATTCTGAAAATATGTACTAAGTATCTTCTAGTATTTGAAAAGTGCTGCGATGGTTACTCTTAGGGCAAAAACTCTGGATTTGTTTCTTTAAAGACACATATTTAGTTGGAGATATAGGGCTTCCATGATAGCTCAGAATCTGCCTGCAATGCAGGAGACCCCGGTTTCGATTCCTGGGTCAGGAAGATCTGCTGGAGAAGGGACAAGCTACCCACTCCAGTATTCTTGGGCTTTCCTTGTGGCTCCGCTGGTAAAGAATCTTCCTGCAATGCAGGAGACATGGGTTTGATCCCTGAGTTGGGAAGATCCCCTGGAGAGGGGAAAAGCTACCCACTCCAGTATTCTGGCCTGGAGAATTCCATGGACTGTATAGCCCATGGGGTCACAAAGAGTCAGACACAACTGAGTGACTTTCACTGTATAGGAATTCAAAGTATACAGAAGAATAGAATTAAGAGATAATGGCAGGGATGGGGGTGTGAAAGGGTGGGCAGTGTTTAGTGGGTGTAAAGGAAGGAATTGTTAAATACTGAGTTTCTGTGCTTAAAGCTAGAATGGACAAAACTGTGCCTTCTGTAAGTATATTTGAAAATACCCTGCTGATCTGGGCTATATGAAAGGGACAGGTAAGCAAAAGTATATGTTACATTATTGCTTTTAAGTACACTTCTTATTTCTGTTTCCCCCTCCCAGTTCAGGCCCTTTAATTTACATTTTAAAATTTCCATATTTTTGTGGTTAGGATAAATGACTGTGAACTCAAAGGTGGTGATGTTGCTCCTTGAAATTAGGAACCCTGCTTTTTTGGTGCTCTGTACACTCCCTTCTAAGTTAATGATGATTTATAGTGATAATTATAATATATTGCTCCTCTAACGCCTCTTTTAGCTTATAAAGCAAGTTTACATAACTATTAAAGTTATTTCCATAATATGCTCAAGAGTTAGGTTCAGGGAGTTTTAGTAAAATTACTCCCATACCATAGACAGAGGGATTGAGGCTGAAAGAATTAAAATAATTTTATCACGAGAGCAATAATTTGTAGCTATGAACAAACCACCCTAAAACAGTGGTTTAAAATAATAGTGCTCATTTCTTTGCTCACCTGAGGGGTGATACTTGGGGTCTCTCAAGCAGTTGCAGTCAGGTGATGGCTGGGGCTGAGGTCACCTCTGAGGTTTAATTCATGTTTGATGCCTGGGCTGGGAAGTCTGTAACATCCATTGTGAGAGCAAGTTGGGCTTCTTCAGGCATAGCTCTCTTCATGGTCTCCCTACATGGACTCTCCGCATTGGGTGCGGGCCACCCTGGGAAGGGGTGTGAATTGGGGACACATGGTTCTCTGCAGCTGAAGTCATCTCTGAAGATGATGGCAGCCGTGGACTGCCTGCCAACAGGACTCCCCAGCAGCTGAGGCAACACAATCTTCACTGAAGGAAGATGACCTCACTTTTGTTCCAAATCCAGTGATCTGGCATTCGCATTGTCTCCACTGATTTAACAGCACTAGTCTGTTGACATTAATACATGTTAATTGTGAATTATACAGTGAAAATAAGTAATCCCATTGGGACACTTCATTAAATAATTATATAGCACTCTGCATGTATTTCTATTATGGGAACATGATATTCCTCACTAATTTGTAAGTTTCAATGAGCTCACATCCACATGAACAACCAAATCTTACTTGCTTCGAGCTCCCACCCACTCCTCCAACAACTCTCGCTCCTTTATTTTTACAGTTAAGTTCAGTCGCTCAGTCGTGTCTGACTCTTTGCGACCCCATGAATCGCAGCACGCCAGGCCTCCCTGCCCATCACCAACTCCTGGAGTTTACTCAAACCCATGTTCATCGAGTTGGTGATGCCATCCAGTGATGGTGATGCCATCCAGTCGGTGATAAGATTCCAGCCATCTCAGCCTCTGTTGTCCCCTTCTCCTCCTGCCCCGAATCCCTCCCAGCATCAGGGTCTTTTCCAATGAATCAACTCTACGCATGAGGTGGCCAAAGTATTGGAGTTTCAGCTTCAACATCAATCCTTCCAATGAACACCCAGGGCTGATCTCCTTTAGGATGGACTGGTTGGATCTCCTTGCAGTCCAAGGGACTCTCAAGAGTTTTCCCCAACACCACAGTTCAAAAGCATCAATTTTTTGTCACTCAGCTTTGTTCCCAGTCCAACTCTCACATCCATACATGACCACTGGAAAAACCAAAGCCTTGACTAGATGGACCTTTGTTGGCAAAGTAATGTCTTTACTTTTTAATATGCTATCTAGGTTGATCATAACTTTCCTTCCAAGGAGTAAGCGTCTTTTAATTTCATGGCTGCAATCACCATCTGCAGTGACTTTGGAGCCCAAAAAAATAAAGTCTGATACTGCTTCCACTGTTTCCCCATCTATTTCCCATGAAGTGATGGGACCAGATGCCATGATCTTAGTTTTCTGAATGTTGAACTTTAAGCCAACTTTTTCACTCTCCTCTGTAGTAACCATCCTCAAACATATGTGGGAACACCCAAGAGATGGGGACGTGTGGATTATGAACCAGTGGAGGCAGCCACTTGCTGTTAGTCTACATGTAATGTTCGAGGCTGCACTATCAATGCTCCTATACCTAATTCCATGCTTGTTGCAATGGAAATTCACGGCTGGAAACCAAGTTCCAGAAGCCAATGTTCCACCACTTAATCAACATTTCCATTAATATCAAGGCAGCATCTCAAATTTTATTTGTTCAAAACCAAACACTTGGTTTTTCTCACTAAAAAGATTTTTAAATGACTACATTTCAGTAAATGACTTAACCATTCTCCAAAACCTAGAAGTCATTCTTGATTCTTTTCTTTGTTAGCCATCCTGGATACAAATACCTAAAATTACTTATTTACTCATCTACTTGTTTATTTCCTATCTCCTCCTTCTAAAATTTCAGTTCTATGAAATCAGAAAATCCATATGTTTTGTCCTCCAGGTGTGTGTCCAGCACTTACACACACTTAGAACTCTGACTTAACATAGAGGTAAGGCGATAGGCAAATATATGATGGATGAATCTGTAAAGAAATTTAATGAGTCAATTAATTTCTGTTAACTGATTCAGGATCCCACCACCCACCAGCCTTAAAATTTCTACAGAAATACTGCTCCAAGATGACACATCTCTGCTCTAAGCAGAGAGAACGTCTCACCAGCCTTAGAATCAGACCATTTTTTTACCACTACTATTTATTGAAAACTAGCCATTCTCAAGATTTGCTGATGTCACAGCCAAGGTTGCTAGTATAATAGGGATTTCCTAGCTGCTGCTCCAAAACTGTTCTGCACTTATTTTAACGGCACTGTGTCCAGGGATCAATGCTGGCATGAGCCAGTATTACTGCTGCCGATATGCAAGTACCTCTGCACTTGTGAAGTATGTTATGTTCAGTTGTAAAAAGAAGTGTTCCACAGCAGAGTTATTTGGGTCCCAAATCATTACTGAGTCTAGTGAAACAGACCTTTCAATTGACACAGAGCCCTTTTTATTCTCTCTGGATATATACACAATCTTAGCTTGGGTTAGAATGGATACAAATAAAAACTTAACTCTGAAAGGGAACCATCTCGTTTCAGACCAATTCCTTCCACTCTTGAAAACAATTCTCTTGCTGAAATGCTATTGTCCCTTACCATAGTCCGGCTTCAATTTATCAGAGTCCATCCTTCTTTCCTTCCTTCTCTCTCTTTCTGTTTCTTTAACAAATAGTCACAGAACACCTAATCTGCTATGTACTGAGGAAAGAAAGATGAATTCGTCTATAATTCCTATAATTCAAGGTATAGACATATGCTTGGAAAGTGCAGAAAAAAAAAGGCTTCTGGTTTATGACAAGTATATGTTCGAGCTAAAATGGGTCACAAAGATAGGAGAGGTCAATTATTAGTGAGGAATTAATGAATTCTTAATTCAAGAGGAGAAACAAATTGTGCCTGGTGACAGGGTTAGGGCTTTTTCCCTTCAGGGTGATAATCAAGTGTTGAAAGTGAAAGGAGAAAAGCAGGTACAGGCAGTGGGAGCAAAACACAGTTGGGTGGCTTTCCTTGTGACATACTATAGCGTGAAGTCAGCCTAAGTTGGGCACCCAAAGATTTGGCTTTGTCTTCAATTAAAAGAGTGTGACATGTGGATGTCTGCTTGATCGTATCCAACTCTTCACAAACCCATGGACTGTTGCCCGCCAGGCTCCTCTGTCCATGGTTTCAGTTCAGTTCAGTTGCTCAGTTGTGTCCAACTCTTTGCGACCCCATGAATCACAGCATGCCAGGCCTCCCTGTCCATCATCAACTCCCGGAGCTTATTCAAACTCATGTCTATTGAGTCGGTGATGCCATCCAGCCATCTCTTCCACTGTC